TTTCAGATAAATAGTGTTCATATCGATATCGGAATTATATCGTATCGACCGAAATTAAGAAATATATCGTGATATCAATTTTGGCCATATCGTCCAGCCCTAATTATAATAATAAAAAAATTAGCTACCTTTTTGGTTTAAAAAAACCTAAAAATTAAAAACCATTACTTTAATTGCTACAAGTGAATTTAAGCATCACATACAGTGTAGAGAATAAAAAATGGATTTGCATTTTGCGATCTGCTGAAGATTAAAGTTAGTGTTGGTTAATGGGGTGATCATATTACAGTTTTTATTATCGTTTAATTTTTCAGATCAGCAAAAAAGTTATTTAGTTGTCTAAGAGCAGTATTCAGATTCAAATATAAAACCACTGCATAGTATAAATTAAATACAGATTAATCTTTGTTAAAGCTACTAAACTGATTCAGTCAAGAGCAGAGAGGGATTTTTTCTTTTTTATTTCTTTTTATTTATTTATTTTGATTAACATTAACGACACATATAAATTAGGCAGCTCTGGCTTCATGAACTAATATAATGATACACATCCGATTTCCTTCTCAACTGTTTACGGTTACTTACATCACAACCAACTGTGTTTACGAGGATACTCAAGACGGTATTTTGAGACAATTTTGTGTGTGTGACCATTCAACAAAGAAGATGTGAAAGAGAATGTGGTGTTTTAATATTCTCTTTTGCATCTTCTTGCACTTGAATGGTTTCGCTTGAATGTTTGATTTTGGAAAGACTTAAAAACACTTGCAAATTATAAACTTCCACTATATGGTGGTTAAACTTTGCTATTAATCTGCAAGTTACACGCCAAACCACGGGACCTGGTCCATACAGATTACAGATCAACTCTAATTTAATAAATAACATTATATGATAGAATAGGTCATCTAAATGTAAAAATAAAGGAAATTAGCAATTTAACATCCAATATGACCGATATCAATAAAATGAAGAAAAAAAAACAAGAAAAAAAATCTCTAATAACGTTCAGTAACACATCATATAGTGTCAATCTCTTTTCCTACCTTGAGGTTCCTTCTTGCTTGAATCTGTCTATCTCAACTAGTGCCTTACTCAGCTCCTCCTGCAACTCTTCCTTCTTTTGATTGAGTTTCTCTCTGGCTTCCCTCTCAGCCAGGAAGTCCATCTTATAGATCTCTGCCTGCAAAAATAAAATGTGCAATTGTGTTTGTGTTATTATATGCAACATGCATGCTGAACATGTATTTATAACAGGCTAAGACATAGTAAGTGAGCAGAGCACTGTAACATTAGTGTGCAGGCGTTATATTCACCTGAGCGTTCAGCACTGGTATAGTCTCTAATGCAGCTCTCAGCTGCTCCGTTTCCTCCTTGAGTTTATCGATGAGATCCTGTTTCAGGGCCAGAGCTTTCTCAGCCTCTGCTAACCTGTTAACTAGACTATCTGCCTCTCCACACTGTAATGGAAATTACCACATGTATGCTTTCCGTTAACAGATTTATAGTGAACCATGCACTGACCTATTTTCAAAAAACATCAAACAGTCACAGTTTTCTAGTTTTGTAGCATTTAAATTAAGACTTTGGTCAATGACTAATAAGCATGTCCACTATAAAGAACAGAAAAAATATTTTAAAATGTAGTTTATAAATCTAGTTCAAAATATTTTATAAATAAAACATTTTTCAAGGAGATACTTGAAGTATTTATTACAAATATCATGAATTATTAAAGGGGTCATATGATGCTGCTAAAAAGAACATTATTTTGTGTATTTGGTGTAATGAAATGTGTTTATGCGGTTTAAAGTTAAAAAAACACCTCTAAAGAGAAAGGAAAAAATGAAATCGCATCATATGACCCCTTTAATAAATGTTTATTTAGGCTTATTGACTTTCACACACAATCACGAGGGTTCGCATGGGTTTTATGTCGTCTTATAATCAGGGTCGTCTTATATTCGGGCCAATACCGTAAATGTACTATTTTGTTTTTTTTGTATGTTGGTTGCACAATATCAGCGTTTGTGTTACCTAAAACTAAAACTATTACAAATCGCTTTCAATAACTGAAAAATCTGAAATAAATAAAACTTACATGAAAAATTCAAAATGTTGCCCTGTCATCTAACTGAAATTAAATAAGTTCAAGTACTGTAATCAATAAAACTAAAACTGAAATAGAAAAAGCAAAATATAAAAAAAAAAAAAACACAAATCAAATCAAATAAAAACTATGATAGCAATGTTGAAAATTGTGTCTTAATAACCAAAAAACATAAATGAAATTTTTTTTTTAAATCACAAACAGCAGCTACCTACCCTGTGATTGGCTTGCTTTTCACTTTTGAGTTTTTTGTCATAATCCTGAAACAAACATGTGTACGCATGTTGGAGCTGGGCCAGCTTCCTCCTAGATGAGGAAGAGCAACAGGAATTGTGGGTTACTGCTACAACCATAACAAAGAAAAAAGGAAGCTGCGTTTGTTACAGGGTTCTCCATCCAGCTAAACCCACCTCTCCTCCACTATGACGAGCCTCTCGTTCTTCAGTGCAGTTTCTAGGTTCTGTGTCTGCAGTAAAAGATTGTCCACTGTCACACTGTGCTGCTTCTTCTGCTGCTCCATGTCTCTCTCTAAAGTCTGCAGGCGTTCGGTCTTCTTGCCCAACCTGGGAGATCAAACAGGTCTTGTACACACAGCTGCCGAATCTCATACACAAACACATGCACAAGGACGAAGAGATGCACTCACTTATCCTCTAAAATTCGTCTCTCTGCTTCACTTTTCTCCAGCCAATTTTGTCGTTCATTCAACTCACCGAGAAGGGACGTGACCTGAGCTCTCAGAGCTTCACTATCCTTTGTCAGCTACAAACACAAAGATGATGATCACCCATCCCAAACTACTGCAAATGCTGCCACAGCTCGGCATAGGAAGAAATGGCTTTTGCATACTGAATCACAGGTTGTGTCTGCGTTTATGTACCTGAACAAAGTCCTTCTCCTTCTGTTTGAGTAGAGCCTCATTTCTGTCTCTCTGAACAGAGCTCTTCTGAAGACAGTCCAGCTTCTCCTGGAGCTCCCTGTACCTACATCACAGCAAAGACACAACCAGGATTAACCGTCCATCTTACTGAAGTTCACCACCAAACGCACCCATTCATTCCTTATTATCAGTACAGTTCACCACCAAACGCACCAATTCATTCCTTATTATCAGTACAGTTTCTACATTTTATCAAATCATCAAATTAAAAAGAAAAAAGAGCCACAAAAACTGAAGTGTGGGGAATATGTAATGACCAAAATGTTATAAATCAAAACTACCTTGTATTTTAGCTTCTTTAATATACTTGCCTAGATGCAAATTCTGGCCAACAATGAGATTTTTGTGTATGCTAGGAACCTGTTTGCTGCATTTACTGCATTCACTATTCGCTCTAACTCCAATAAACAAAAAAATGCCAATAAATACTTTTATATTATATTTTTATTTCTAAAATCGATTAATAAAATAATAAAGTAGTAGTATATATTTATTTAATGCCATGTCAGCATCAAAGGCTATTTTCATGGCAGAAACAATTTGAAAGATTTTTTACATTAAAGTCTTTTTACATTAACATGTGATAAAAATTCTAACACTTTTCCTGGCAAAATTTTACTAAATAAAATAATTTAAAAAAAATATATTGTTCAAAAGTTTTGGTTCAGTAAAAAGTTTTAATGTGTTTAAAGGTGTCTCTTATGCTCAACATGGCTGCATTTATTTCATCAAAAACTGCAATATTGTGAAATATTACCATTTAAAATAACTCTTTTCTATTTGAATATATTTTTAAATATATTTCTGTGATGGCAAACCTGAATTTTCAGCAGCCATCACTCCAGTCTTAAGTGTTACATGATTCATAATTTGGTGCACAAGAAACAGTTGTGCTGCTTAATATGTTTGTGGGGAAAAAAAGTTACAAACTTTTCTCTTAAATTTTTATGTTAATTTATAGAAAGTCCATACAATCTTCTGTAATATTATAAATGTCTTTACTGCCACTTTCAAACAATTTAATGGATCCTTGCTGAATAAAAGCATTAATTTCTTTATTTAAACTTCTGAACAGTAGTCTAAATGAGAAATGTCAAAACATTTGACTGCTAGTGCATCTGTCTCATTCCAGTCACAGACACAGTGTTCTTTCAACACCAATGAGGGGAGGAACACACGAGCACACACACACACAGTGAGATATAGTTCCCCTCACCTGCCTTGTGTAGCCTGAAGCTGCTCAGTTAGTTTAGCCAAGTGAGAGCTAAGCAGACACATGGATCAAAACAGAAGACAGAAAAGAGAGATTCCAAACCATTCACATTAAAAGAAAGGAAGCAAAGCACTTTGAGATTTATTACAATACAATCCAAGCGTGCAGAGTTTACAGCCTGCAGGGAGAGAGAGCAGTGTAAACTGAACATCTGAGAGTACCTTTCTGCAGGAACGGTGAGCGCGCATGCCTGCTGGACTGACTCTTCAGTAACACCACCATTCTAATAAAGAGAGGATTAATCAATGATCAGAAGTTAGGTAGATATATAAATACCGTTTTGACATCTCTGTTTAAAGAATCCCGAAACAAATGTCTCAAAATATTAAAGAGCACAACTATTGATAATATTAAGTAATATTTCTTGAACACCAAATCAGAGTAATAAAATTATTTCTGAATAGTCATGTGACACTGAATACTTAATCAATGGTTATTTTAAATTGTAATAATATTACTGTTTTTACTGTATATTTGATTAAATAAATACAGCCTTGGTGAACATAAGAGACATCTTTCAAAACATTAAATAACTCTTACTGACCCCAAACAGTAGTGTATATAATTTAGAATTTATCTTAATAATAATAATTTGTATAATTTTAAAAAATGCAGTTATTATGACCTTGTATTAATTAAGCAACTACGTGGAAGTCTATTACATTGCAGAATTTTCTAAAAAAGAATAATTGTAAAAATATAAAAAACGATCAAAGTGAAAAGGTGTTGGACATTTTATTTGTGAACTACCCATATAATATAGGTCTAATTATATCAATAAACAAATGGAACATAAACGCTCTACCTGATTGAGTTTGGAGCGTAACTGCTCTACAGTGGCGAGGAGATTTTCTCGCTCTCTCTCATTCTCTGTCTTCTCCTTCTCCAGCTCCTCATTCCTCCTCCTCAGTGCCCTCATCCCTTCCTCCAGCTTCTCTTTGTGGCTTTTCAGCAGTTTCAGAAATTCATTAGAGCCCTCAGCAGGCTGAGGTGAAAAAGATTTGTAAAGATGAAGGCACAAATACTTAAAAAAGAAACAACTTGATCTTTAGCCATGTTTGGATTGTACTTTAACACAGTGAACCAGGAGGATAAAACACACCACACCACACCCAAAAGTAGTCAAAGCAGATTAGCACTCAATGCTGATAAAGCTCTATTGTACAGACATTTCACATATTGACATTTATGGTAAATTACCAAACTTTGAGGCATTGTGTGTCTGTCACCGTCTCCTTCAGCTCGGTCTGTCAGTACAGCTTCATTTAATACCTGCGTAATGAAACAATAAAGGGAAGTTTTAATTCAATGAACTGACAACTTCCATGCAAGCTTTTCATGCAAGTTCCAAATGCTTTACAAAAGAACCTACTTCTGGTGAGTCCATGAGGACATTCTTCTCTACATTAGTGCACTTCAGCTCTTGGTCCTGGCCTTGATTTCCAGTCTCTTTAGAGATGCCAACACTTGGACTCCCTGTTTGACTGATGCTGTGGTTGAGCTGTCCCAACAGGCTCTGGTTTTCCTGTGCCAGTCGCTGCACTAAAGCTCTGGCCTCACGAAATCTACAGCTCAGGAACTCGCGCTCCTCTCTCGACCTCCTCTGCCACCCCTCCATCTCATCACATCTTTCTTTGAGGGCATCATTGCTTCGCTTCAGAGCCTCTGTGGAATGTTTAGAGTTGTTTATGCAGTTTAATGTTATCAATGGGCAATGAATCTGGCATAGACAATCTCTCAAGTCTCACCTCGTAGCTGATGATTATCTGTTATGAGTCTATGGACCACTTCATTTCCCGCTAATTCAGGAGGGACCCCCATAGACCCCTGTGAACTGGCCATCAGTGACCCTTGACCCCTGGCACCCACAGTCTCCTCTCCAGTCAGCTCCCACTGCAGAGTACAACCACCTGACGGCTGCGGCTGGACCATGATCCTGAGAGAGAAGACCAGCCAATAATTAAAGGGGTCATATGATGCGATTTCAATTTTTCCTTTCTCTTTGGAGTGTTACAAGCTCTTGGTGCATAAAGAAGATCTGTAAAGTTGCAAAGACTAAAGTCTCAAATCCAAAGAGATATTCTTTATAAAAGTTAAGAGTTAGCCACACCTACCTAAAACGGCTCGTTCTAACACGCCCCCACATACCTACGTCACGATCTGGGAAGATTTGCATAACGCCGCCTAAATGTTCACGCAAACAAAGAAGGCGTAACTTTTATTCTTGCTGTAGTATTGTTAACGCCGCCACCATGTCGTGAAGGCGTTGTGTGCTTCGTTGTGAAAGCGAAACTAAATTATGTCCCCACTGGATGGGTTTTAATGTTTTTGTCTCGTCGCTCTGGCCGGGACACGGCATCACAGTATGGTAAGGGGCGTAACATTTCCGTCACACGGTTGAGGTATTCGGCCAATCACAACGCATTGGATAGCTGGCCAATCAGAGCACACCTCGCTTTTTCAGACTGATGAGCTTTGTAAAAATCGACGCGTTTCAGAAAGGCGGGGCATAGAGGAGAAACAATAATGTACAGTATGTGGAAAATAATGTGTTTTTTGAACCTTAAACTGCATAAACACATTTCATTACACCAAATACACCAAATAATGTTCTTTTTAGCAGCATCATATGACCCCTTTAACATCTGGAGCTGGACAACTCAATGAATTTTACAGTTGTTTGTGATTGTTGGATAAGCATATTGAATAAGTTTATAACGATTGCTGCAGCAAACTATGAGTCTTTATTAAGTGCATTTACAGTATTTATTTATCTTTGTTAGTTAATAAAAATACAACTATTCATTGTTAGTTCATGTTAGCTCACGTCCATTAAATGATATTAACAGATACAACTTTGATTTTAATAACGTATTAGTAAAAGTTGAAAATACACGTAATATATTATTATTATTATTGGAATTTGCATTTATGCCATTACATTAATGCACAGTTTTTCTGCAATCAAAAACTGCACATTTATTTTCATTTCTGTTTTGTTCTATAAAATGCTACACAGCTCACTTGACTGAGTAATTATGCAATCAATAAAGTTCATATTAAATAATATTAACATACACAACTTTTGACTTTAATATTTTTTAGTAAATGCTGCATTTAACATTAAGTAAGATGAATAAATTCTAATATATTAAATATTTTTCAGTTAGTTAACTAATGTAGCCTAGTTAACTAATGTTAACAAATTGTACAGCATTACCAATAACGATTATGAACTTATTTCTTTTCTTTTTTGAAACAACATTAATTTATTAATTAATTAATTTATTAATTGTTCAGTGCTGGATTATATTTTATTATTAGTTATGTTATTTTAAAATCTCACATGAAGTTTAAAATGGATGAATTGAGGGTTTAATTACAGTTTCACTTTACAACAAGGGCTAAATGGGGCGATTCACTGACATTTCTGCCATTAATAACGCTACAGCTAAAACGAAATAATCTCTCCAATCACAAAACATAGTTTTTCATTCCGTTTTATGATCCTTTTACCTTCAAAAAATTGTTTACTGTTTCTCAGCGCGGTGTTGATTCCAAAGACAAACACACACTTCAAAAACACGGTTAAATATAATAGTGCTGACATTTAATTCTTATCGACACGTTTATTTTAAACAACTTCTCACATCTTCTGAAAAACAAGACTCAATGTTTTGTTTACAGGTTTCTGACAGACGTAACGTTACTGAGCTAACGACACGACTAGCATCAGCGCATTTAAAACCCTAAAACATTCAAAACCACACACTAACACGAGTCAAATTCCTTAGACATACATAAATTATGTGATAAATATATAGGAGGATGTAATAGGAAGGTAATTACTACCTTTTTAAGCCGTTCACAGTGTTTACCTATCCGCGCTAACACAGATCAACTGCTTGTCGGTCTTCCGCCAAGGAAACACGGCCCAGTTTAAAGTCAACCATAGACGCTAAGGTCGGCAAACATCTTCAGCCTCGCCGAGCTGGAAAGTCAGAATCGAGTTTGATAAAGTGAATTAAATAAAAATGTCCAGAAAAGCTCGGACAGGGACAGACTATCGAGGAATTCCCCCTCGATACTTCCGCGCTTCATCACACTCTGCGCTGTTTCCGGGTGGGGGAATTATGGGAAGACAAATTAGAGTAAAAAGTCACGAGGAACTTCGGTGTTTTGTTATTACCGATACAAAACTTTTAATGTCCTCAAGTCATTTTTGACATATTTTTGTTAAGAATGTAATAATAATGTAATTAAGAATACATTACAGATCCAACCAATATTGTTTTTTTTTCCTTTTTACAACCAATACTACTGCAGATTATTTCTGTTTTGACACAATAATAACTAGCCTATAGACCATAACAATGACGAAATAAGGGGCCTAAAAGCATTACGAATATTATCAATATTATTATTTTTAACACTAATGTTATTATTATTAGACTTCTAGATTAGATTATTAGGTTGCTTTAGAGATCCACTAAATGGGGCTATTTAATTGTATTCCTGATATAACAAGGACATCTGATTAAAGGGGTCATATGATGTTGCTAAAAAGAACATTATTTTGTGTATTTGGTGTAATGAAATGTGTTTATGCAGTTTAAGTTTCAAAAAACACATTATTTTCCACATACTGTACATTATTGAATTTAAATCGTATCATATGACCCCTTTAATTAAGTAGAAAAGTGTAAATATTGGTATATATATATTGATCAAACTGATAACCTCTTAACACTTGAGTTTTCATCATACTGTGCATCCTTTTGAAAGGAATGGATTTATTGCAATGGATACAAAAATTGACTGTTCCATAAAGGTTTATTTGTTAACTTTTTTAATAAATACTTTTATTCAGCAAGGACGCATTAAATTAACCAAACGTGACAGTAAATACTTTTACATAAAAAAAACAACTTTCTATTATATCCTAAAAAAAGAAACACTTCAAAGAGAAAGGAAAAATTTAAATCGTATCATATGACCCCTTTAATTAAGTAGAAAAGTGTAAATATTGGTATATATATATTGATCAAACTGATAACCTCTTAACACTTGAGTTTTCATCATACTGTGCATCCTTTTGAAAGGAATGGATTTATTGCAATGGATACAAAAATTGACTGTTCCATAAAGGTTTATTTGTTAACTGTTTTTTAATAAATACTTTTATTCAGCAAGGACGCATTAAATTAACCAAACGTGACAGTAAATACTTTTAAATAAAAAAAACAACTTTCTATTACATCCTAAAAAAAGAAATTGTCACAGAATCCACAAAAATATTAAGCAGCGCAACCAATAATATTTAAGAAATGTTTCTTGAGCACCAAATCAGCATATTAGAGTGATTTCTGAAGTATCATGTGACACTGAAGACTGGAGTAATGAGAGAGCTTGCGGCTTGTATGTTCAAGATGCAGGCTAAGTGGTTGTTTTAATAAAATAGCCCACATGTATGACGTGGCAACCTTCAAAACAGACATACATGACAGTTGTTCATTATATCAAATATCAGAGAGAGAGAGAGAAATAAATATTAACAAATTGTATGGAAAAAGACTAGACTATAGGCCTATTGTAGCTTCGTACATATGACAAACCCATGCAGAATTTGTTACAAATTATTAAATGTCTATTTAATAACATGTAAACATCTATTTAATAACATGTAATCCTCTTCTTTGAATGTCTCATGGTTATTTCAACACAGCTTTAAATAGCAAAAAAATCCATTCAGGTATTCCATTGATTCATGTTTTGTAATTGAGAGAAAAGCAGTTTGACAAGCTTCTTCCGATTCCTCCTTGTGTTTCGTCACTCTTTGGAGAACACCACATATATACCACTGCAACAGCGAGCCACAGATTTGCAGAACGGAGCGATGAAGATGTTAACCACACTCATCCACAGTGACCTCACACAGGGCAGGCAGCTATGAAACACCTGAATACAGGGCATCACACACCTATGGTAAGAGACAGTACTTTTGATTAAAAAGTTTTATTGCATTGATGTAACAGATTTCATAAATAATCGCCAAAATGAGCTTACCAGATGTGCATACAGGCCAGTAGGGCAAAGAGACCCCCACAGAGACATGAGAACGGAAGCGCACACAGCGCTGTGAGGCAGCGGTAACCCCAGAGCCGCGCGGACTCGAAGCCGATGCCGCTGTACACCCACACGCGGTCGTAGCTGTGTGTGGAGACGGGCTCTGCCAAAACGTCGCTGAACTCTATCTAGTGTCACAATGAAGAGAAAGTTGGTGGCACTTTATTGATGGTCATGTTTTTTTCACTTATAACCTCCCATAAGAAGACACAGTCGTGCTCACCTTCAAGTGTTTGTTGAGGCCACAGGGATCCCTGATCTCACCCTGAGTGAGGGACGATGTGGAGGAGAACTGTGGGGGAGGAGGCGGAGACGGGTGGATCTTCTTCACATCATCATCATCATCATCATCTTCTTCTTCTTCTTCTTCATCATCGTCAATATTACACTCCACCAAATACTCGTCTGGCATCATATTGACTGCAAAGCAGATCACACTCTTTGTGCAATTCTTATACGCATCAGTGCAGAACCAAACAGTACAGTCGCCTACAGAGTATTTTTTTTATTGAATAGGTTAGGCTTTTAGCATAACTGTGGGTTAAATGGTTTAGTTCCAGTAGAGAAACTACAGCAGTGGTTCTCAACATTTCTGACTGCTGGATATTTGCAAGATACCCACAAGATATTTCTGATACTTCTGTTACAATGACAGATGCTCATTTTGAAAAGTTTTATTTACAGAAACTTAGAGTGGCAATATAAATAAAATTAAATAAATAATTAAATTTTATATTCCCAATAACTGAATATTGTTCATGGTTTACACTTTTTATTACCAATTTACATGACTTTTCTAGTTTGTAAATACATTGTTATTAAATAGCAATATCTAACCATGCAATAAAATTTGATATGGTTGGGCTTGATATAGATTCATTATATATTAAAAAAAATGACTTAAGAATTTATTAATTCCTTTACTTTCCAGGTCTATAAATCAAAACTCTAAGATAGTGAGAACCTGTTTTTTAAGTAAAAATGGCAGGGAACAAATTTCAATAAGATAAATGATTTCAGTATATGTCTTGCTATTTTAACTGTTCTTGCTGATTTTTAGCCTTGTTTTGTCTTATTTTCAATTATTTTGAGCCATCTTGCATCCCCTTTGGAATTGTGCTGCTGAGGCCTCCTATTGGGTCCCAGCCCCACTGAACTACAAGCACATGTGACAAATATAAACTCAAATCAGACAAGACACATCCTGGCAACTCCTGCTTACTATTATTGTTCACTCATTATAGCACATCATATTGTAATACTACGTCTACTGAGAAGTGATGAAATGAACTCATCAGTACAGTATGGATGTAAATGTAACCATCATTTCATATCAATTTGTTACAAAAATTAACCTAAAGTATTTTGTAATTAAAACAATGAAAAAAAAAAAACAGAAAGACTGCATTTAATTTTTAATAGTAATTAAACATGATTATTATTATTGTATACGTTTATATTATTTAATTAAGAATTACCCATGAATGCTATGCAAAATAATTTAAGCAATTATGAATATTTATCACTTACCCTATTCAACAGTCCTGGTCCAAAAATAAACTGTAATCCTGTCCAGGTCAATAAAGCAAATTCAGCAAAAGCAACAGTTTTGATCTATCTGACAGACACTGATAATCTCCATACATTTTCTCGTTGTCCACATCTAACAGATGAATATGTGGCCTGTATCAAACTATTACAGGAGGGGACCGTCTTTCAGTGTGGAGGTGTGACCTCACTCTTTCTGCCTTGTGTTCTTTGCCATAGTCTAGTGTGTAGAAGTGTCTGTACCCAGTGAAGAATTAGCAGGCTGAGTATAGAGTTATTTTGGGGAGAGGAATGGAGAGGGCACCACTGATCAGGTTACGGGACAGGCTAACCCTCCTCACACGTGGCCAGTTTCCTCACATATCATCTCATATTTAAAACAATAATTTATAGTTTTTTAGAAAACATACAGTGGGCTTCAAAAATATTCACTTTAAAATGTCTGTCATTGTGTTATACATTGTATTACACAGTGTTGTTATTGTTAGGTAATAAATTATACTGTAATGATACTTGCTCATCTGAGTGGTGAGAAGAACCCTTCACTGTATGGAATAGAACACTGGTTACACGACCCAACTAGCATTTCAAGAGTAATTATTATGCATGATGAAACACACGGCAAGCCGATGGTATTTTAGAATCTATATAATTTATTTTGATATTATTGTAATCCACACATCAATGATGACATGATCTACCAGAGACACACACTGCTAAAGGGAATGCATGGGTGACGGGCTGAACGTCGAGGGAGATCAGTGACCAGGGGAACTAATGTGCAGCAAAAAGAAAGTGAGTGCCATTGTTCTTCCTGCGACTACATGTGCTATTTCACAGTTTGATCTTTTCTCCAGTCAGTTCTCTGGCTTCTCTGTTGGACAGTTCCTGAGCTGCTCTGAGTGGCACTTGTCTTCACAGTTGTCTTTCCAGTTTTTGTATGTGACAGAGAGAAAATGGAGCCATAGGGGTAAAAGCGGCTACAGAGCTGTGCTTATTTTGGCCGCTCCACCTGTTCCCACACGAGACTATCTGCGTCAGTGTGTTTGCATGCATGTGTGCTGGTTCCTTTATGGTAGAATGCTTTTTAAAGAATAATCCATTGTAATTCAAATAATTGTAAAAATAGCAATGCGATTAAATGTAAAAAAAAAAATGTAAATGGCAAATGATACAAAAAACCCTAAATGAGTCTTCTAAGAAAGAAAAACTGGAGCATTTTAATATTCATCATGTCGTAGTCGTACCTTGAACTATTTGAGCTATGCAACAAAAAGCATTGAAAAAGAAAAACTAAAACTAAACACAATGAAGTAGAATCTTGGTTGGCAAACATCTGAGGGTAACGTTGGCCTTCAAAAATCTCTTCCTACATTCAGGGTGACACGTCTATATCTAAAATAACAATGTGGACTCTGTCTGTCATGGACGTCATTCCCACAATTCAC